GTTATACGGCTGCTTGACGATACGAAATACGCAGATCCGTTACGAGATCCAAGGTTTGCCTTTGTTTGAATCAGTCTTAGAACCTTTAAATTGTTTCCATTCTAGTTTGAAGCTTTCCTTAACTATTCAGTAATGTTATGGTAATGATCTGAATCACATCATCGCATAGAAACTCCCAGAGCTGGTAAAATTCCAGCGTTCTTGATATTTTGTAGAGTACATCAAATTTATTTGCATTTGGAGGTTTTTATCGCATCACTAAAAAACTTCAAAATGTTGATTTTACCGTAATCCTGCGCTCCGCATTCACCCAATGAAATTAATTTACCGATGCTTTTTACCTATCTTTCGTCTTGTTCATTCATTTAAGTGAGCAGAATTTACTTCTCAAAAAGGATCCTATTGATATTGCTCTCTTTTTTCTTCTTCGACAGCACTTTTCATAAAATTGGATTATTCTCATTCAAACTACCTCGGTCAGGTAGATTGGGGTCTACAAGAATGTTATGCTACCCTTTGAGACTTTTTCAATGTTTTAATGCCCTATTTAAGTTTATGTCTTCAGCAAGACTCGACTGGGGCACCAGGACCTTTGAATGATTTTCTAGACTCATTTGTTTTGAATACTTCTCATGGCAAGTGAAACTGATAAGTTTTTTCTTNTTGAATGATTTTCTAGACTCATTTGTTTTGAATACTTCTCATGGCAAGTGAAACTGATAAGTTTTTTCTTCTTCATCTTACTTGATGTCATCATTTTTGCTCGAGAGACGGACCATATAGATGTTTCTCTGGCTAGGCATGAAATAACACTACTGTTAGACTACTGTTACTTTCGGTATCGGTTTCGAATGCTACCTTTAACCTCTCTTTTGACTCTTCTATTGAGTTTCTGCTTGACGTTCTCACCTTTCGTTGGCATTGTTCACTATGCAAAATCACATGGAGGGTTCGAATATCTTGAATATCGTCAGCTTCTTCATTTTCATCGAGTTCCCAATATTAAATCGGTCTTCCGCTCCTCAGTGTGTTCCTTGTTTTACTGACAGTTTATTGTTTTTTGGTTAGCCATTTGGTCGCTCATGAATGTCTCATCATGCGGTCGCGTCCGCTGACATTTACTCTTCACAGGTCGCTTCCCCATGAATAGCCTCTTTTTACAGGACCATATTGCATTTGAGGTCGTCGGAGATGTCTAGGAGATGAGTAATCGTGATTTGCGACATGTTATATCGAGCAGAGTTGTGCGAGCCACCGCGCCAAAGGCGCTGGCAAGCCCCCATGGGCCGATCACGCCCTCTTAACTATATTCTACTATGTTTATTATTTTTGTTATTTATTCCGTCCAACAATGGCTATCATTCGGATGACTGGATAGTTTTCAAAAACAAACATGCCGATCAGGGTATGGAGTTTGAGAAAATGGTGAGCCTTCAGTTTCTTACGATGCTTATTTGTTTTATTGATTAATTGAATTTGATTGCATAAGTTTTGCTTGCCGATCTTTGCTACTATTTGGTGTCCACTCCTCTCGCCGCTGAACGTTCGATGTGTAATACATGTCCGAGCGGCTTAACCCGGTAATCCCCTGCTCAAACTCTAGCTGGTTATATTTGGGTGCTGAAATTGAAATCGAAAGGGTGCTAGTAATAATAGAGCCCAGGGTTTGACGGTGATGTATGGATAGCAGTGTTATGAGACCATTTCAGATATTAAGTTGTTTCGAAATCAATGGTTGCTAATTGGATTGCGTAGTGCCTGGTGTAGCGTCTGGTGGTGACGTAACCGTCGAGCTGGTTGTAATCTTCCTAGGTCACACATCATAGATTCTAACGATTCGGGATCTTTTTCGCCGAAAAATGATGATCTTGGTCCTAAACTGATAGATGAATATGAATCGAAGAGATCAAATTAATTTTTGAGATCAACCTAAATTACAAAACTAATTTTGAACAAGAAAATTACTCGCTTCGATGGTCAAAAACAATTTTCAATTGGCCATCCCATTCGCTTTTTCGGGTTGATTCTGACGCACAGGAAGTTCTTGGCCTGTCAGGAGTATTACAAATAGCAGGACACGGTACTTCAGTGTAGTTTTCAGTTTCTTTGAGTAGATCAGACTATGTGATTCAAGGGTGATACTCAGAGATTTCTGAATTCGAATTCGCGTGTGACTGTGACAGATATGGCTTTTTGTTCAGGTCGTGGATCCATCAAATACACGCCTGTATGTCGCCGGAGTTAATTATCTCTATGATTTGCATTCATCTGACCTTTCCGTTCGAGTAGAAGCTGTAACGGGACCGATGGATGATTCAGATCAGTGCAAAGGAGGTGCGTATGTAGCATTTTTCCTCGGTTATTTTCGATCTTCGCTTTGCATTTTGATCAGATTTTACTTTTTTAAACTTCACTTTTTTATCCGCCATTTCGTATATTAAAGTTGTTGGTATTTTCGTCTTTGAATGATCGCATTTTTATCACCCATTTTGTGAGCCCGACTAGCGTTTGACCGTTCAGGCGCCGTGGTCTGAATCACGCACTCACTAAGAAGGTGTTTTCTCCCACGCTCCTCTTGTGAAAGAGATTTTGACTGGTCATTTGAATACTGAATGGGAGCGTGAGACTCGATAGAGTTGTTGATTCGAATTGGTTTCGCTCTCATCGGGCACTTGTTTGCAAATTGGTTTCGAGTTCTCTTATGATGAAAAAAAAAACCGTCTCGCGACTTCTTCAAAATCTCGTTTTTGGTATTCAGAATCCGTTTAATGCGCCACAGCGAAGACTCGTCTTCACATCATCCACAATGATCTTTGTTCGTTGTGATGTAGCGTATCCAGACACTTCTCATACAAAATCCTCCACCTGTCAAGCCTCCCACGCCAGCGACTGGTATCCTTGAGCGCGAGCCCGTTTTGTAGGCCTCCCGCTGAGTAAGGAGACAATTCACACCCCCTTTCACACCAACCAATGCCACCGACCTCTACTGGATTAGCGCCCTGCAATCCCGATTAAACCGCTTGAAAAATGGCACTCGACTGCAAGGACGAGTTTGAGCCAGACGTTGACTCCTTGAAATGGAGAACATCTCTGACGAAGATCCTGATCTGAACTGGTGTTCAAAACGCTAATGAGCATTGAATTCGAAGCCTGGGAGCCAGTGTGGTCATATATTACACAGAATCTAATCAGGCGCATCGAAACCTGCTTATCGCATGAAATGGCGAGAGGGAAGACATGGGTAATGCAGCAAGTCAAATTAGGAATGATTGTTTCTGACGAATTGGCAGCTGGGTTATCGGGTTCATTGATTTCATAATTTATGCCTCTGGTAATTTTTAGGGCTTTCTCGAAATTATCATCTTCACTGCTTGTTTACTCAATTACTATTTTGGTGGAGATAGTTCAATAAAATGTAGATGGGTAAACTATGCCTGGTGCTTACTTTTTCAATTTTGACAAATATTAGTCCTTCCAGTGAAGATTAATCAGCTGCATCAGATAAGGGTCATATTTTCTGCTGGGAATTTTTTTACAATATTGTGCTCGTTCTGGAGTTTTACGTTTTTCGATTCCGATCTCTGACCCTTTTCATATTTTTACAACCCAGTATTAGAGCCTCTCTTGTAAGTTTTCTCTTTTCTTCTTGATTTGGTGATTTCGCTAGTTTTATTCGTGTAAGGATAGGTGCTGCTTTTTCCCCAGCGCTAATTCTTCTCGGAGCTTCCGCACCGTTTTTACATCACGAGCTTCCGCTCTGTGCACACAGGTGGGTGCAATCGGGGGCTACGGTTTGTGACAGATAAGGGGCGCAACGTAAGAACGTTCAACACTTGTGGATATGTTAAAGTTATGTCGCGATCAGGTCAAGCGGTTACCGTTGAGTATTCAGTTATTGTGTTGTGGGTAGCGAATGAGGTTAATACGCAGCGATGTGTGTTGAGGTGAAATTTCGGTCTGCCCGTATGGCACATATGGCCATTCATGGGCAAAGTGGAAGGGAATCTACGTTTAATAGGCTAAGGAACTGGTCAGAGGGTGAAAGGGTCACGTATCTAGCAGTTCACACCCTATAAGAACCTCTAATTATCAAGCGCTCTCATATTAGTGTTCATCCATTCTTCCGAGGACAATATATAACGAGGTAGACAAGTGATTGGGGAACGGTGGATTGTTTTGGAACGGGAGCAATCGCACACCCACCTTGACCCCAGAGTGAATAATTTGTGGGAGAGGTATGGCGATGTGATTTGTTAATTAGCTTGTAGCTGGGTGCAGAATGGTTTGTTCACGAATGATTGGGTCTGCCGGGGTTTTACTTGGACTGCTAGTTATGTTTGAAATGGATGCTCTTGTTAAGTAAGGTAACCGTGTCTTCAGTGCTGATTGGATATTTCATACACAACCAGTTCGGGTGATTCAGAAATCAGTTCAAAAAGGCTTTCTGAGACCCATCGGAAACTATATTTGATTTCTATCCTCATCGATTGTCCATTTTCAATCAATCCATGAACCATAGTACGTGGCCTTTCCCGATATTTTCGATTTCTTTGCGTTGTATTTTGAGGAACACAGAAATCATCGGATTGTCACTTCATTAGAAGAGCGGGATGATCTTGGGTAGCCGGTAGAATTGGAGATGAACAGAAGGTTGAACTTTATACTATCGAGACTTCAAAGATTACAATGGTTTGTGCAACTTAGCTCAAAATGTAAGTGGTTAAATTGGTACTATAGCGCGTCAAGAAGCTTATATATCCATATGTCGAACAATCAGAATCCCAGTGTATTCCCGTTTGTATTCCTAAATCCCAACGTTTATTGGTTCTTTTGGGTCGGCTTGACATCTGGCCCATAACAATAGAGTTAAGTTCAAGAGTAACGTTTTTGGAGTTGGTTATTCCCCTGTGGCATGTTCCTACTTATGACACTCACATAAAGTTGTATTGGCGTTTGAAAGTTTGTCTGGTCCATATGTGAATGGTGAGCCTGTAAAAGTCAGTGTTTTCCTCCCAGATGGGTCTGTTAGCAATTCGCCGACTCTGGANGAATGGCTGCGTGGTTATCCCGGGACAGTAATTTCATCTATGAGGCATAAGTATGGTGTTCTTCAGGTGACTGTGCGTGTGAGTGGATATTCCGGTGAACATGATCCCTATTTGGAGCGTTGAGGTGACGTCCCTAGTTGGAGCGTTGAGGTGACGAAGTGAGTGATAGCTCGCTATTCATATTCAAATGGCTTCTGGGATTTGTTGTTCGGCGGTGGCTAAGGAACGCTCATAGCTCTTTAATGGCGGTCATGACATGGACAGGTGTATAGCACTTTGTCATGTTTAGTGAGGCTTAACGAGAAGCCATTCCAGGCGCCCACTGGGTGGGCTCATTGGAGAGCCAGTGGTGGGAGTCGAGTCTATTCACGCCATTCAGGAAACAACATCTGGTGCTAATTATAGATGTGTGATTGTGAGGCTATTGATTGCGTTTAGTGTGCGGCAGAGGAATGCAGCTTTGAAAAGGCGGTCGTATTGTTTTCTTATTCTCTTCATTGCTTCCCAGAAAAAGATTTAACAACGACGCCAGAAAAATGCCATGAAATGGAGAGTTACGGTAGAATTTGATGACGTCCGGTTGTGGGGAATGTTCACATGATATTGAAAAGGGTTTTTATAAAGACTTTCATACCATCTAGACCTTCTGGTTGCTGAGGAATGTGGTAACAAGTTATAGATGTAATATAAGATTTAACGAGGGTTCTTTGACTGTTCAAGTTCAGGTTTATATGTACGTGGCCGTTGGGTGAACCTAATGAAGCTGATAATATATGAAGGCCTCTAGTAAGTATGGAGGGCGTCATATACTAGTGAGCAGAACTGTATCCCGAAAACTCGACCTCTGTGACTAAGGGCTTACCTTAGTTCCGAGGTTTTGCTCGAAACACCTCAGCATTACACCAGTTTCTGGCTGAAAAGTAATGCTACGTTCCAAGTTTTCCTATCTGAATCTGTGCTTTTCTCAGATCTTAGAAATTTCCATGGCAGTTTTGGACTGACCACCTTTTGAGAGAAGATTTTTGGTCACTTCTCGCTGTCTGTTTCTGTCTGTTACATAATGTTGATGCTTCTCTTTGGGCATATCGTCTGAGAATATTTCGGCCCTGTTGGGATGCTGTATCTTGAAAAATTAAGCAGTAGTCAGTGGGCTGTGTTAAAATTCATAGGACACTTGAGCCATTCGTAGTTTGTCCTCGTGCGCATGGCTGGTGTTCTGTCGACCATAAATGTTTTTCGGCAAGCGTTTCAAGATCTGCGGACACAAAAAGGGTTATCGATGATCGTACGGAGTGATGGTGGCGCCGACGAGTCGATGCGCTGAGCGAAGTGGAAATGACTAATCAGTGTGATCCCGTCGGTTGATAAGCCAATAGTACTCGCGTCTGACGAGCATAGGGGGTTTTAAAGCAGTTTTCGTACAGGAGTTGAAAAAAAGCTCTATTGCTTCAAATTTGGGGGTATTGATCGATTGTTTTTGGATTGTCATCCTCGGTAATCTTGGCAAGATTTGGACGCAACTATTCATTTGAAGCTATATTCCGAAAGAGCCTAAGGAATCCTCTTCCTTTTGGCACAAGCTTTTCTTGGACCTTCTCCTTGTAGGCCTTCTTGTTTTGTTGTTGATGGTATTTTTCAGAAATTCAGAACATTCAGCTCTGGTCTGTGCAGGTAATTAGGGAATACAGGTAAATGATTTTCATCTGATTCATCTGACAGGATGGGTCGATAATGAAAAGGGCGGCTGGTGCGTTGCGGGGGTGGTAATTTGTTGTGTTGGTCATCGGCTGTCGTAACTTCGTCGTCGGATGGTGAATAGTGCGCAGAGTGTGATGCTGAGACCTGATAATGTTGCAAATAGTGTGATGATCCTGTTAGAACGATGGCCACGCGAGAGCCTTCTATTGTGGTGTAATACCGCATTCACTGGCTAGGAGGCTGCGAGGATGGTACCGTTGTATCCGGGTGGTTAGACCCGTAAGTCTCCTAGCTGAACAATGGAGTTTATGACCGGAAACGGCGGATTAAAGAAGTGAAAGTTGTTGCCGCTCAGAAGGGGGTAACGGTGTTCAGCTCAGGATGGAGAACAAAGAAAAGCGCATTACTCTCTGTCATTGATTTAGTTAGTGAGTTGTTGAGGGACTAGATTTTTGGTGGTTTGCTTAGGGGCCTGGACTCACCGGCGCTCTGAAAATTAGGGATCCTGTGATTCAGCTCATTGCATTCAGCATTGGTTCACACCCACAATAGTAAGGAAGTTCCGAATGGATCGATAGGTCCGATAAAATTCATAATTGTCGTCGAAAAAGACCATTTATGGAGTGCCAGAGACGTCTAGACATAGAAGTAGCTCAAAGCTATAGTTGAATGAAGATTAGAGCAGAAGGGTATATCCGCATGGCAAATGCAGAGATGTTAAAGCGTAACCAGGTCAGAAGCAGCTGTTTCATCAGAATAATCCTCTTGTTCAAAGAAGAAGCGCTGTTCTCAATTCACTATCAATTTTCTCCGCCAGATGTTCAGGAAACAGACCCGAACTGGTCCAAAAAGAACGCCCGTAGATGTAAAAAGCTGGTGTTAGCCTCGTTTGGTAGTGAGTGTGGGAATAACTCACCTAGAAATTGATCGCAACATCCCACTATTGGATTAATACGCATGCTCATAAAAGTCCCTTTTCTTCCATTCGGGACTAGCCTGTTGAAAGGAACGATTTTCGATGAAAGCGTGACCAAGTGTGGAATCAGTGGTCACCTTGACGTTCTCCTTCAATTCATTGACTCTTCACATAGTCATTTATAACATTTTTTGTCACAGATTTCCCCATTAGCTGCGCGTTGATTGCACAGTGTGGATGCTTTTCATTCCGATGAATTATTGCCGTCATATCGCTTCGTCGGTTTTTCCTTGAACGGCGACGTCTCAAAGAACACCGACACCATGAGGGGCCAGCAGTATGGAGCTTCTCGTTATCTCGAAGCGGCTTGAACGGCGGAGGCTGCTGACCACCACATATACGATCTGCTTTTTCGCTACCATTATGAGCTCCCCGAGGCTGAACTGGAGACGCATGACCTTTTCTGGGTTGTGGTTTTTCAAGCACAAAGCAAGGCTCTTCATGAGCGGTGCTGCTAAAGGTATGTCCTTATCCGCAGAAGATATGCACTCGTTACGGTCAAACGTGTGTTACTGTAGCGACTGAGGATTATTGAAATAGACGATGAAATCGTTGTGTGAATGTCCCGAATTGATGGCGAACACTTTGAAAAATGTGTGAAAGGGTGACCTAAAAGGCGTTAAGTGCGTTCCATGTTGTGATGCTACAGCAGTTAAATTTGGGTACTCGAATAGCCCTTTCCCTTGTATTGGAGCGTGAAGGTTTTCGTCAAACTCACGTACTTTCGGTGTCAAACAGCGACTACAAAGCGCAAACCTGACTAGATGATAAATTCTCTTTTGGTCAAGTTTGCCTATGGATTCCTATTGCTACAGTTACTTATTTTACAGTCCCTTGAACTGGAGAAGGTGTTTTTTTTAGATTAGTTACGGTAGGGGAAGAATTGAGGTAATATGAACTGGTTGTGTGGTGGCAGAGTTTGAATATTAATTAAATCATGCAGAACGATAAGAATCCACCGTTCTGGAAGAACTGGTTTGTGCATTCGGGAGGGAAAGGTAATGAATAATGGTGCGTCATTGTGTTTATGGGATCTTTTTTCCTTTGATTACTTATCGTTATGGTTTATGTGGAAATACATAGATGGCTCAGTTTTACAAAGAAAGCAGAGAGAAAGGAAGGTTCTGTACAGAGGGAGATAGATAAGATTCTCATTGGGCGCTTTGTAGTGGCGGTCGGTTATGGAGGAGTGGTACTTGTAGCTGCTTTAGTGTCCACTTTTCATGTTGAGTATCAGTGCGGTAGCAGCTGCTGGCTGGAATCTATGATTATGAGTAGCTGAGAAATGAGAGTATTTTGATTTTTTTATTCCGCAGGGGTTAGTGACACCTATTCGGTTTTCCGGCAAACTTATGAGGGAAAACAATGGTCAGTCACCGCGCGAGGGATCCGATATAACTCTTGTTCTGATTTTCGTGCCTCTCAAAACCCCTTGACTTGTGTTCCGATTTCCGGTTTCGGTTTCCGTTCCGGATTTCGCGAGCTTTTCTGCTCAGCCTCAATGGACGTAATAAAACTGTGCTGGTTGAAAACTTGTCTGTTTAGTTTAAGTGGGACATACCTCAACTTTCTGGTTCACTGGAATTATAAAAGGATTCTGATAGTCGAGTCAATGAAGAGGCATGGCTGGTATAACTTCACAAGAATATAAACTCATTTATCAGTTCTAGATTTACCATCTTTATAAACGCGCATCAAAGTAGGATGGCGCGCTACTGGTAATAATCCAAAACAAACCAACACATCAAGGAACAACAGGTAGGGTCATGGGAGCCCACCTGCTTTGCGGCTCATTTTCTTCAATCATGTATTTTATGAGGAAAATTAGCTATTTGCACTGTCGGGTCCGCGTCATTAATTGGTTAATTAGTAGCTATAGTTGCCCTGCTACCTCTATTGGTAGGAAAGAACTCAAAAAACAAATTATGATTAACGTCAGCAGAACTTTCATCTTTGACACTATGAAATAGCTTCCTCATGGTGGTCGTAAGGTGTGGTGAGCACTGATTGCTGTGCATTTGTATTCATCGCAGAGTTTTTTTATTCATCCGTCTGTTCGTTGGGAGTGTTGATGTCGCCGCGTGTCGCACGCTCAATTAGCATCGATGGCTAGCTAGTGTATGCCGACACAAAGATCTCAAGTAGAAGATTAGTGGGACGCGACGAGAAGGGGGATTTGTTTGAGATTACTCGAATCGCAGCCGCCCACCGCTCCCTGTGCCACTTGTACGAGACGCGAGACCGACTGCAGAGGTGGCGAGGTCAGCGCCACACAAGCAGCAGATTTGTTGAAGAGGACCGAGTGGCTCGACTGTATGGGTCAACGCACACTGACAAAGTCGCCGGTGGTTAGTGATGACAAAATGTGACAGCAGCACTTGATCGTTTTGAATGAGTGGCGATAAG